CTTTGAGGCGCCGTGGCGGAACCTTCCCCTATCTCCGGCCGCGAGCTCTTCTTTTCCCACCAAAACAGTTGGAGGCGAGATATTTTCGTGGAGGAGAGGCGGAAGAGGCCACCTATATTTGGTGCCGACAACATACGGACCAAAAAAAGGTATCGTCCTTGGGTACGCTGTTGGAAGCTGAATTTTACACGGATACGACGCAAAATATGTTAAAGAATGTTTGGGTGCCGTAATAGCTCGTCTGTTGGAGTTAGGAAATCGAGATCAGATCTTGGCGTGGTTTGGCCTTGTTCATTCCCTGTCGTGCGTGTCCTGTGTTGAGCAGGGCAGGAGACACATGCTGACGCGCTAGCTAGCTTCCGGTGTGGACGCAAACAAAGCACAGAATCTTGGGCGCAGGCCGGACAGCCAAAGGTGGCCGGGTTTTCTTCCCAACATTTTCTCTGGCCACCACCCACAACGTACAAAATTAAATCTGACCTACAACTACAAGTTGTGCTTCTGCTTCAATTCTGCCCATGATTTGCTCTCCAGCTTCTGTTTATATTGGCCCATGCCCATGTCATTTGGTGCAAACTCTACCAAAAAACAATTTGAAAACACTGTTTCTACTGAATTGTTGTGAGAGAAAAATTTATTAAATTTAAAAAAAAGCTGAACAAGTCGAATATGAGATAAGTCGAACAGGGTTTGCTACCACTTGTTGCTTGTGGAAATATTTCGAGGTCGAGTTTATTAGGTGAACATAATGCATCGTCTTATAAATACATGCCTGCCTGTACCTTGCGTACAAAACTGCACGATCTTAGAGCGACCTCCGCATTCACGTACGTAGTATGCAATGGTCAGGTACACATAAGCTTGATAGGATGCACGTAAGTCAACGAGATTTCAGACCTGTTCGACTGATATTAAAACTGACTGATAAGACGGCTAAAATTATTTTATTATGAAAAAAAAATATTATAGATTTTAGTTGATAAGCTAGCCGATAAAATCAAACGGACCCTTCATCGGCCCCCTGCACGCCGCTGGCCAGTCGATGGTCCGTCATCGGGCACATGCTGATGATGGTGACGTGGACCCTGCCCGGGGCCCGCCGCTCGATGTGCAACTAGCACTAGTAGTACTACTGTACTAGTAGTAGTACACTAGTTGCGTTGCATGCATGCGGACGGGCACGGTCGTTTTCGCAGTCGCAGGCAGGTGCTCCCAGCCATCATTGGAGCGCGTGCATGGTGTGGTGTCTGGCCGGCCCCGGCTCTCCACGCTTAACCCTACTTCTAACTTTTTCAGTAGCACTCACAGCCTCACACCTGAATGCACCAACCTGCGCCTACGTGTCTTTGTGCGCTAATTACGCGCTTATCCACGATGGCTTCTTTTATAATCCATTTTTTACTTGTTTTTTAGCCGAAACAGTATTTTCTCTCACAACAAATCAGTCAAAACAGTATTTCGCCTTATTTTTTCAGCGAAGCGAACGGGGCGAATGCATCTTCTATCTTCTATTTTAGTATAGTAGCTATAGCATACACTATATGTCTATATGTAATGTAATGGATCCACTAGTGCCCAGACATCCGTCCGTCTATCCGAACGCTGCTCCCGCGCCCACGCCCGACGCACGCCTAGACCCGCGCCCAACGCACCCGTGCCCATCCCTACCCCGGAGGCAGCATTCGCCAGATGGAGCTTCCCGCATCTGCGCCCAACGCACGTAGCATGGAGGCCCCGCATCCTATCCCACCCTATGCGCCGCGCCCGCGCCCATCCCGCTCCATATCCCGGCCGATCCGCCGCAACATCCCGTCACCGCCGTTCTCGTGTCCGCGGCCTCCGTCTTCGCCACAGCAGGAAGCCGCGGCAGCTGGACCACCGAGGGCTTAGGCTTCCTCCACACCTACATCCAGATCTACTTTTGCAACACTCAGATAAACGTAATTGCAACATACTTTTGAAACAGATGAAACATTCGGAACATACACTTGCAACATATGCAACATCCAGATAAAACACTTGCAACATACGTCTGAAAACAGATGAAACACTTGAAACATGCGTGTATAGCCATAGCAATATATGCAACATCCAGATGCAACACTTGCAACATAAGTAAGTCTGAAAACATCTGAAACATTTGAAACATACGCTTGAAACATGCATGTATAGCCATAGCAACATACGTAACATCCAAATGAAACACTTAAAACATAGGCTTGCAACATGTCTGAAACGCCTGAAACACTTGAAAACACGGCGTCGCCGGCGGTCATGGCCTAGATGGTGGGGAACTGCGGTGGCGCAGGCTTCGCTTCCTGCTGACGGTGCGAGGTGGATGGGGGCGCAGGTGCAGGCGCAGGCCTCTCCTGCCTCCTCTTCCGCGATGGGGGAGGTGGATGAGCGCACGGTCAGGAGCGAGCAATGGCACGCGGGCGGGCGAGGCGCGGGGCACATGGAGCCAGTGGCGTGGACGACACAGGTGGGGCGCACGGAGCCAGTGGCACGGGCGACGTGGCGGGGTGCGTGGAGCAGTGGCGCGAGTGACGCGGGCGGGGGCGCGAACCAATGGCGCGGGCGTGGCGCGCGGAGCGGTCCGTTTGGACGGGACGGACGCCCGTGGCGTACCATTAGCGTATACGTAAAGGGTTTGTCCATTCCACACCACTTGCATGCTTTAGAGTTGTCTATCCAACAACTGAGTGCTGAGTACCTGATTTTTTTAATGTTCTTCTTCTTCATCGCCCCGCCGCAGTCTCCTTTTTCCCTTCCCCTCCTTCTTTCGCGGCGAGTTCTAGCCATGGGCGCGCCCGCCCCGACCTGGTCCGGCCGCCCCTGCCGTCGCCAGGACCGAAACGCCGCCCGACTGTCATCCCCACCGCCTGTCTAGCCTGTCTCCTCCTATTTTCCCTTCTAAGGCTGCTGAATTTAGAGACAAAGAGGGGGAGAGTCATCGGATTTGGAGAAGAATGAGAGAGAATAATCGAGTGTATTGAGAGGGAGACAAACAACCTGAGTGTTGTTTGGCCTTTCTCATGTTTTACACTAGGACTCCAAAACACAAGAGTTTTTGAGTCAGCGATGAAAGTTCAAGGGCTTCATTAGATAGTTAACTTTGGCTATGTTTTTAGAGAAATATGTCAACATCTCTAAAAAGTTCAAAAAATGTTATATCAAAACATATTTTACGCAGAAAATTGAACAAAACTGATTTGATATTTAGGATGTTGGTGCATTCCCCTCCAGGGTGGTCAGAGTTCGAGTCCTGAGGACTCACTCTCATGGCTTCGGCCACAGCAACTGGAGGGGGAAAAAACTGCCCCACATCCAAAGGTGCCAACTCATCTCACGGAGCTGCAGTGCCGCGTGTAAGGGTAGGACATGGGTTCGGGGGTTTTCTAGATCTGCGTGAGAAGATCTTCTTCTTAAGCCGGAATACCCGGGATGTCTAGCCACCGTTGATCAAGTTTTTTTTTAATTTTTATATAGATTTTGTCAAAATAAGACTTTGAGTTTGGGCGAAGCCAAAACAAACTACTCCTAGTTTAATTTGGAACAGAACTAGCGAGGCTGGCTGGTGGTTGGGTCCTGCATTGCAGATGGATCCATGAATCATTCTGGCAGCCTCGAGTTCAGACCGAATTGCGCAGCAGGATGCAGGAATTCAATTCTGCAACCTCAGCTCTCTCGCAGTTAAAGAAACAAATGGCAGCAGATTTGGCAGCATATAGATGCAGGGCTGCCTTGACTTCGTCTAGGATTAAATTCCGCACTGCATGCATGCCACGCATGCCACATCGCTGTTGTTGTGTATAGTATTTCCACTGCGACGCAAATTAAACAAGCTGTACTACATCATCCATTCCATGGTGTAAGCAGCCTTCACATGCATGCGGCCAGAGAGGGCCATCGGCCATCGCAGATCAAGCAGAGAGCCAGCAGGGGCGCTGCAGCGTGGATCCATCGATCCCTGTTCAGTGGTCGTCTCTGTCACCTGGCTCAGAGTTTTAAACCATTCACTCACCTGGTGCCTACCTCACCTATGCAGCAGCAGCACATCGAGGATGCATTTCGCGGCTGTTGTTGAGCCGGGACCAATGCAATTCCATCCAGCCTATACTAAATTGAATCAAAACTTTTGGTGATGGTCATGGGCCGTAAGGTTCGGTGTGTCTCCGGGCTGATCCTATGTGGCCCATCCAGGCCTGCCTAGTGGCTGCACACGCATCTTCAAGTTTCGTGGCCCATAATCTCGAAGTTATATTAACCGGGGTCAGACGAAACTTTCAAAATTGAAAAGAAACATGCAATTTTTCAGGAAGTGACTACTCAACAATCGACTGATTTTTGTTGGTGTTTCAATCGATTGTTTTCAACCGGTCAGAATAGGAGAATAGGGTACGTACGAAAACAAGGTGGTGTTTCCGTCGATTGTTTTCAACTAGTCGGAACAGGACACGTAAGCATGGAACCAACACGTACGATCGGTGGCACAACATGCGAATCGAAGCAGATTCAGACCCGATAACTAAAAAAGAAAGGTTACACAACTGAGACCAAAACCCATTAAGAAAAAAGGATCTTGGTGGATCAAGATCGAAACCCGATAAGAAAACAGGCTTGACGGCCAAGAAAGGAAAAAAGCCTGAATCCAAAAATATCTTCCGGCTAGTTGATCGGAACACAGGCAGAACAACATGCGAACAAAAGGGAAGGCAAAACCAGCTCAAAGAATACATACTGATGAAAATGCAGATCAAGATGACAATACTCAATAAAATCAGGTAAATACTTAACTCTATATCATCACTTTATGCTTCCCCACTTCTTTGGACTCAAAAATCTGCATACAAACTTGAAAAAAATTCAGATTCAAGGTTGATAGCTTCCTAGGCTGTTGTCAGCCTGATCTCTTCTGAAGATACACCCCCAAAGTTTCTCGTGCTTGCATTTTCTCTTTGTAAAAAAAAAAGAATCACACTTTGTGTTCTTTTTTTTTCTCAAAAATTAGAATAAAGAATCACAAATTGATACGTAGGCAAAAGGGAGGACAGACTAGGCTCGTGAGATTTCCAATTGATGTAGGAAGAGACTTTAGCTGGTTTGCACGCAAGCCAAAGATCAATCAGGCTGGAAGGTTCCCCGAAGGTATCAGGCAGATTGATCAGCTGGTTTGAGTGGAGGTCAAGCTTTGTCAAGTATCTAAGGCTACCAATTGTTGATGGGAGTGCCATGATCCTATTCTCAGATAGATCAAGCTCAGTGACATCCTGTAATTTTCCAAGCGAGACAGGGAGCCACTCAACTTGGTCCACCAGCTTATCCAGGAGATTGAGCTCTGTAGTCCCCTTCTTTGCGGATGACTCTATAAGGCTTGCCACTTGGATAAGGCCCAGCATTTCTGTGTCAGTACCTGCAGAAATTGATATATTAGACTATATTAGGAGAATACAGACACTGATTTTTTTTTATGTTACCGTTGAAGAAGATGGTCTCATGCTAGGCCTAGAGAAAATATGGTTAACTGTTCATTGTTTATTACCATCTCTTATCTACTCCAATCAGTAAAGTGTAAATTATTTACAGTTTTCACAACACGCTGTAGAATTCTATTCGAAAGAAGTACTGGCCGCTATCCAAATAGTGGAAGTTCAGTTGAGATATCCCTCACATGTATGAAGCTGAAACTAAAGAAATAACTGAAGGAGAAAGAAACTGAAACTAAAAGACCAGTGTAAAGAACAGAGAGATTTCACTTTCATAGTTGTGCAGGATTTTCAACAGTTACTGCACAGCTCAAAGGTGACTACTAAGGCAGTGATGCCTTTTTAAAAAGCAACATGACAACAGAGCCCTCTAAGCAATCCAGTTCTGACTCCTGATTGAGGCCAAGTCATTGCAAAAAAAAAAAAAAAAAAAGACAGGCAAGGGAAGCTAATTTAGTGCGGCCACATGCATGCACAAAAAGAAAGCTAATTTAGTGCAAGACTTCGGGATTTAGTGCGGCCTCAGCTAATTAAATTTAAGCAAACTGATTCACCCGAAGATATCAGCCATAGCACCAGACATCACAGTTATGAAACTAAGCTACCGCAACCCATCCACCAACGGATCAGACATCCATGAAACTAATGCTAAAAGGAAACTAATAGAAAGAAATAAAATCATTAAAAAAAACAATGAAACTGACATTGCACTGGAAATGAAAATACACTCACCTCATTCAGCTACTACTACGAATTTTCTGTAAATCACTGACCACTAAAAACTGAGTTCCAAAGAAAATTTAAAACTGATACATTACAACTAAAAAAATTTCATGGTGACTGAAGATTGAGAGAAAATACAACTCTGAAACCTGAACAAACAATGAAATGCTAACTGAAACCTGAACAAACAATGAAATGCTAAACTAAAATAAAACAAGAGTAAACTAAAAACTGAAATGTTAACTAAACTGAAACTAAAGTCTAGGTACCCTGAAACCTGAACTAAAACATCTACACTGTGCCACCTAGCATGCAAGTAGATTTGGTATGGCGATAGGCATGTCACCAAACAAGGGTAGCAAGGAACGTGTGCACACAGATCTAATCAGAGCATTTCTCTTGAGACGAGGTGAAAAAGCCAGAGCGCACGGGTATGGGATGCCGTCACTAGATCCATCGAGAAAAATAAAAACGGCAAGCAAGCACACAGGCTAAAGGAAACGTTCTAATCCTTTGACAATGGACGCCATCACTAGGTACCCTGAAACCTTAACTAAAAATGAAAAAAAACTAAAATAAAACAAGAGTAAACTAATAACTAAACTGAAAGGCTCAGGTACAAACCAGTGAGACATGGATCTGCAACTGAGCTACAGCTACCCATCCGCTAATGGGCCGAGCATCCATGAAACTGAAGCTAAAAGGAAACTAATAGAAGGAACTAACAACCATAGAAAACAAAGCACAACAGGCAAGCATGCAATGAATTATAAATGTAGATTGCTATATCATGAAAGTTACATTGCACAGGGAATGAAACCACACTCGGCTCAATCAGCTACTACTCTGAATTTTCTCTAACTCACTGAACCACTGTCATCCTAATGTACTTATGTACACAACCTAAACAAAATTTTTGCTCGTGGAAGCAAAACATGGCTAATTTCTCGCAATGAAACTAGACAGAGAGAGGCAACATGCCACTTTGGACTAGGGACAAAATGAAACAGAACAGAGTAAAACTGCTGCGGAACATTGAACAAAATATATATGATGCACTGGCGCCTCCAAAAATAAGTAACATACAAAATAGTAGTATCAGTTGATAAATACTACTACATAAGCCATAAGAACAAAAATTGATCCAATGAAATGAAAGATAAAAGCAATACTCATCATGGTTCTCAACATTTAGCAGCAGTATAGCAACAATAATTATTTGTCAATATGATGCATAGGTAGCTAATCACACACACACACACACACAAAGTACACCACACGTACTGAAGCTGATGACGGATGATCTCCTCTTCTTGTTTATTTATTCTTCCTCTCACACACGTACAGTCACAGCAAGCTCGTTCACAAAAATTAAAACCAAACAGGATCCATGCAATGCAATGCAATGGATCGGATAGCAGATGCCGAACACACACAGCTAAACCAGCATCTCTGGCACACGAATTCTCATTTAGGGCAACATACTAAGTACATACATTGTTTTGATTCATTTATGCACTCATTAGTGCAAAATAGATTGGTCACCAGTGCAACATACACTAGTTAACATCTAAGGCCTTCCTAGCACTACTGCTACTTCCTAACACACATCAACAATACTACTGCAACTACTAGAAAAGCCAACATCTTCAATGCCCTGGTCAAATGCTCTATCTTCCCTTCCAATGAAGGGGCCCTAATGTAGAGGTCTGAACTGCTTCATAAAAAACACATGCATTTCCAATAGAATTGATTTCTTCAATCAGTTCATCCGATGCCTCTTCCACAACCTCCAAATGCATCACAATAGTGCCTCTAAGCACCAACATTTTCAGGTAATCCTTCTGCCATTCATTATTCATAGAAGCCACACCTACCAGGCATCTACAAAACAAACAACCAAAATGCAAATGCATATACATCAAAAACACTTGTTCAAGCCATTTTATGAGCACAACCAGCAGCTCAGCTTGCCAATTATGTATTGCTGGGGCATTTGAAGAAAACACGGAGTTCGAATACGTCATTGCCCTTAGCTCAATCACCCTTGCACTGTTGCACCGTGGGCACATGACCAGAGGGAGCCCTATCTCCTTTCCCAGCTATGGTCGGACCGATAGCTCCATTGCAGGGGGGTCCTCCCCCAAGAAGCCCCGATCTACTATGCTAAACCTTAGGAGTCCCCCCCCCCAAATGTGACATTCTACGAATTAAACACAAACCCTAACCAATCAATTCACAAAACCTAGCAAAAACCCCACAACCCAAACTGTGCGTGGGAAATAAGGTTGAGAGATCAGGACGGACATGCATACCTTGAATCTGGCGCAGGATGCATGCTTCGGCGACTAAGGAGGAGGCCGATGGCGATGGCGGCTTGCGGCACCGGGACGGAACAGAGGAGGCGAAGGCGACCGCCATTAAATGGATTAGGCACGGGAGAGAGAAAAAGAGCTGAGCAGGTTAATGCTGCTAAGGGAAGGGGCATTTTGGTCTTTTCACAATGCGTCACCATGCTGGTAGCCTGACCGCAAGCCACACGAGCCAAAATGACCGTTTTTTTTTTGGCAAACTTGTAAGAAATATTTACACTCCAATGACAAATTTATAAGAAGTTTTGAGAGGGTGCTATTTGAATGTGTGACAAAAAAAAAAAGCCCAAGACTTGTTGCCCCTGCCCTGGTTCCCAGCCTCCTAGCAACCCGCCGCCATGTCCAGGGGCACAGACGCCGCCCCCAACTCGATTTCCTTCTCCTCAACGTTCATGCCTATGCCGGCGAGCGCAGGAACGCCACCACCGCCAGCAGCTTCACCAGGAACCATCAGCTTATCGAGGTATCGATTTGCCCCGCGCGCCCGCCGCTCCCCTCCGACGTCTTCGTGCACTGCCCCGACATCCGCTTCACCCTCCTTCCCCGCGTCGTGCGGGCGGTGGAAGATCTCTTCCTCCTTCGTGTCGCCATGGGTTGCCGACCCGATTACATCTCCCCAGACGACTCCGACTACTTCGTGTACCGAGCCGGATGCGACGGCACCAAAAGGGCCCTCGAGCGGCTCTCACGCCCGCACCCCTTCTCCCTCGACGACGATGTCGGTCTCCTCAGTCGCGGTGACCACTACACTGTCGCCGCGTTGATATCCTCGGGGACGCTTGACGTCTTTGATCTCCACCTTTTTCACTCGGAATCCAAGGCATGGATCTACCGGAAGGTGTCTGTAGGGGAGCCACAGAGATCGTTTCCGCTGGTGATCCCCGAAAACTGCGGGCGGCTCCTGTACCACGACACAAGCACCGCGATTGCCATCGGTGGTGAAGGCGGTACCATGAGCTGGGTCGATCTCTGGCGCGGCATCCTTTTTTGCGATGCACTCTGTGACATGCCCACGCTCCGTGGTGTACCTCTGCCATTGCCGTTGGAGTTGGTGAGCTGCAACAATGGACTGGGGACCGAGCTAGGCTGCCCAAAGATCATTCGTAGCATTGCCTTCATCAAGAGAGGGACCAACGACGGTGCAGATGATTGCCTCAAGCTTGTTCACTTGGAAGCTAATGCCACTTGCCTCCCTGGTACTGATGATGAAACAGGTTATCCCTTATTCTTAATGAATAGCTGGGCGATTGTCACATGGAGCAACACTAAAATGACGAGCTCTTGGAAGGATTGGCACATGGACTGCAGGGTCCAAGCTTCTGACATCACAATGGACAGCCAAATCAAGTCCAAGTTGCTTCAATTTGGACTGCTGCCTGAACCAAGGGATGGTGCTACAGCAGGTTGAGGCTTACAGAACCTCTTGGTTTCGGACCCCACTCCAGACATATCTACGGCTGATGGGGATGTTGTTTACTTGATGGCCAGGAGAAAATTCATGCACACCAAGGCATGCGTTCTCACTATTGATTTGAGGAATTGCACACTTGTTGATGTTGCTGAGTTTGACACTGAAAGACAACCTGGTGTGCCCGCCCTGTATTGTCTTAGTACCATCTCCAAGTATATGAATGTGGAAACGTCCCAGGTATGTAATTTGCTTTATTACCATCTCCAAAAGCATGCCCTTTTGACTACCCCTTTCTAGATAGAGAAGTGGATAGCTCGGGATCAAAGAAAAAAAACCCAAAGAAACAAATAACACTTCACTTCATTGTTATGTAATCAACAGCACTCAGTTCTTGATTGACAGTCGATTTCAGTTTCAATTTATGTTGATAAGTATCCTTTACCTTTGTTTTTGTTTTTGTTTTACACTGCTGTTATGGATGTCACAGTTCTTTATGAGTATCTTTCATAAACAAATGTTTATGGTTGCTGATCACACATACACTACTTTGTTATTCTTAGTGAAAAATGCACTTGAGTGGTTGTAGAATGAATTTTGGATTAGCTAGAAAATTAAGTAACAAGACCAGTGTCATCTGTAGGTTGATGGGAAATATTTTTCATACTTAAATCCTTGGGTGGTACGTATAATTGACAAGTTTTCCTCCTTGTACTGAACTGAGTAACTAGGTGTTTGCCCTTGCGTTGCAATGGAAGACAAAAAAACTAATGCACCAAAATATGCATGGAAAACAAAGTTACAAGTCATATTCAAAGAAAGACCAAATCAGACTGGTCAAGTGTAAGTTGAAAATATTACATTTTCATTTTGGTGTCGTTAAATAAAATGCTTAGGTGCAGACCGACACTACAAGTGTACTATTGTAGAATTGGGAAGCAAAATGTAAAGAGAAAGGACACAATAGAAAGTCCAAATTAAATTACAGATGACAGATAAATTTCTATAATGCATTATGGCCTCGTTTCAGCTATGAAAACAAATCATCTACCCATGGAATACCAAGTGTTCTAATCTAGTCTGTTCCCCCTCTTCTGCACCCTATATGGCACGTCCTGTGCAGATGAACATAACACATAATTAGAGCATGTCAGTATGCCAGTAAATCTTAGATTTGCTCCATGGACCATGGTCATGCCAAACCACTTGTCGACCCGAAGCACAGCCAATGGCACACCAAGAACAGCGCCCCTCTCCCTGCATGGATGAACCACACGTTGCATCAGTGCATCAGCTCTGAACTTTTGATCATGCAACAAACAGCATGTACAAACATATGTGATGACGTGATGCCACTTGACAACAGCAGCACGAGGCTTCTTAAGGGTATCATTGCCACCAAATGATTGAGAAAATCTCTATGGCCCCATACCATCCATCCTTTCGGAACAAGGTCTCACTCTGATCATTGTGATAGAGTTTGATACTTTAAGACAGCCTGGTGTGCCCGCCCTGTATTTTATCCTTCACATGTAGTACTTATTGTGCAGTTATTTGATCTTGTCATCTCTGTTTGTATGCTTGATACATTTCCTTTGGAGCCTGATAGAATGGAAAAGAAGTGTCCTAATGCTGATAAGTATAATTATAACACATCTGTTATCTACATAAAAGTTTCAGGTTACTCTTTTTTTTCATGATGATAAGTGTATTTGAGTACAGATTTTTAATGTTTCAGGTAGTTATAACAAAACAAAAGTGTAGTTTTACAGCAAAAGAAAAGGTAGTTACAGCAAAATAAAAGTGTGATGTTCTAATATGTTGCCAAGCTCATATAAATTGCTGTGGCAGCAATTTTACATGCTTTTGACTGAGTTTTCCTTTTGTTTTCTTGTGCTCTGGCCAACTGTTTTCCGCAGAATTTGTTATTTGTTCAGTATTTATTATGGTGCTCTGGCCTTTGTTTAAAAGCTCATATAAATGACTGTTTTTTTGGACACTACTGGTTATTGTAATCCATACTTCTAGTAAGTAGCTAACATATATGTACCTTTTGGGCCTTAGCATCCTCTTGTATGTAGAAGGTTCCACCACCTTTGTTATTTGCGCCACAACCTTAACAATCCTCCACAATCCCTAATTAACTCGCTGAGCGGCTAGCTGTACAAGACACAAAAATTTGGCGATCAGTTTAGGGTAATCAAGATCACACAGTCCTAACTCAGCTCCACTAACTTCACAAATCAATTTGCAAACTAAACTTGAAGTCCAACTCCTAGTTGTTTGCCTAAGCCATTATGCAGCCATCAATTTAATAGTCAATAAATATGTCGTCGAAACAAACCTGTAGCTCAGAATCAAGGGCACAGTAACAAATTCACAGATTGACAGGTGACAAGTTGCATGCAACAACAGTTCCCCCATCAATGGTTTATTGAAGTTGGGAATCAACACACAGCTAAATGCCTAAACATGATTGTATGCTCCTACAAGGACACAAGCTCAGATATGAGCACCACCCACAAGCCACGGCGGCCCCCACTCAAATGGTGCAGGGCAAAAGGATGAGATGAGGGCGAGTGAGAATTTGGAGGCGGCAGCTCACAGGCGAGTGAGACATGGTTGTCATGGTCGCAGGCAGCCCTCGGAACCAGGTGTAGGGGTTGACGAGCATGGGGCCTTAGCTCAGCAGCATGCCACTGGGGTCCCTAATATTGCGGTGCAGCGCTGAGAGCGCGTTGCCCTTGGAGTTGGCCCCCATGAACGCGAGCATGACAGGTTGTTGGGACAGCGTGGTGTATGGGCGGGGCATGGTGCCGGCCGACGGAGCATGGAGGGGCAGGAAGCTGTGTGGGAGAGGGGCATGGTGGCTGGGTGGTGAGAAGACGGCGTGGCTGCCAGGCTGCACAGCGGTGGCCAGGCGATTCGGGGCCAGGGGCCACGTGCTGGGGATGGGGGCTGTGTTCTGGGGGCAGAAATTCAATGTAGGGCGTATCCGGGAGGCATGCTGGAAAAACACTGTTGATTCCCTTTGAGGCTTTTTAGGAGTTGAGATTCAATTGAAAGATATCATGATAAGCATTAACATTGTCGCTTCTTCATCTTTTCATATTGTGTGAACATACATTCAATATGGTTTTTGTCAGCCAAGTGCATTTCCACTTCATATTTAGTAGATTCTTTCACCAAGTGTGTCACTTATAATTTTTACAGCTAACTATTTTTTTTAATGAACTATGCTGCTGTGAATTATCTGTTTACAAATTCCACTGGTTTTACATGGTCAACTAGTTCTCTTTAACAACACATGGCTATGGCATTCACTTAGTTACTGGTACTATGAATGGTTGTACAATTCATTGTGCCGGTGTACCCTGTTGAATTTTACTAGCTAGAGTACAAATTCCAAGATACGCATAAGCATTTATGCCTCATCATTCAAGTGTTCATGTTGTTCCACCGGATGCTGTTACAGGTGATGGCCACAGGAGGATGAGGATGTCTTGAAGCCTGAATGAATATATAAAGATTGAAGTCAACAAACTCATTTGGTCTGGTCGTGCTTGCTAGAGTTGCTTTAGTGGTCCAGGCCTTTGTCTGGTGTTATGATCTCTCGGTTGTGATAGGTAATAGAAGGAACTCCATCTTGGTCCCCCAATTGTTGCCAAAGTTTGATTTTGGCTACCGAACTCCAAAACCAGATACCAGATAACTATTCCATATGATCTGTAGTTTCAGTGTCGAGCTTGTAGTGAGCCGCATAATGTTTTATGCTTGTCATTCTATTGTTTTCAGAATGTATGAAGTATTTGCTTGCTGGTGAATGTTGATAATTATGTGTGCAACGTGCTGCATTCATGTCATATGATTTATAGCTTTAGCCAAAGTTATTTGGTTTTGGAATTCAGGGCCCAAAGACAAGACTCTTAAAATTATACCACCTTTGCTTCAAATGGCAAGTTGTTCTGGCTTTTTTAAGATAATATAGCCTTTTGTTATCGATAATGCTAGGGTCAGGACGTCCGTCCGTATGCCTCCTTGATGGGCTATGGACTGGTGGCCTAGGCAACCGCAGCGGTCCATCCCGTGACTCCCGTCTAGACATTTCAATGGCCCGACTCTCCCATTTCGGATTGTCCGATGCCTCCACACGTCTCTCCTATTCCCCTCCGCCCTCCAAGTCTCCACGGCTCCACCTCTGGGTCTCTGACCGCACAACAAACCCACGATGGCGCGTCGCCTCCTTGCGACGTCGCTCCAGCTCGCCCGCCCGGACTCCACCTTGTCACCGCCCTCCACCACCGTGTACGACGAGCTCTGCCTGTGGGGCTTCTCGTGTGGCTTGCTCCTAGGCAACGTGCGTTCCTACACGCTCGACGCTGGCTCCAGGGACTTCACTGTCGGCCTCCGCTCTAGCTGCTGCATCGTGCTGCCCACGAGGAGCGATCGCCTCACGGGCTGTCTCGACTACCGCCGCATCTTGGGCCTCGACGGCATTTACATCAGGGCCTTCTTTCTGCTGGTGGTCCATCATGGGCACCGGCGACCTCCTTTCACTCTGTGGCATCGAGCTCCACAACGATGAGCTCCATTCGTCCAAGCCACAAGGTGACCTTGCGCTGAAAGCGCATGTTGCAAGTGTATGCTTGAAGTGTTTCAGTTATTCCAGAGGTATGTTGTAAGGGTTTTGTATGGATGTTGCAAAAGTAGATCGGGATGTTACATATGTTGCAATGGTTGTACACTTATGTTGCAAACGTGTGGCAGAACCGCCTAATCTAATGCCTCCCAGGAGTACTTGTCTCCCATTTAGATACTAAGTACTCAAGAGAGGACACTAAACTATGCAGTTTCGTCGAGCACACCCCAAGGGAGAACTCGAAAATCCACATTTTTCCATTAGGATTATAAATGAGAGAATAAAGCTTACAACATTCTTAAGTCATTTCTTACATCACTTTATTACAGTAGTAGAATATTACCTTAATTGATTATAACAG